ATAAGAAAGCAGGGGAGGGGCTATTCATGAGGGTTTGTAGTGACAGCACGAGGGGTAATGGCTTTAAGCTAGGAAAGGGTAGATTTAGGTTAGATGTTAGGAAAAAGTTCTTCAATATGAGGGTGATAGACTACTGGAATAGGTTGCCCAGACAGGTGGTGGAGGCCCCATCCCTGGGGATATTCAAGATCAGGCTGGATGAAGCTCTCAGTAGCTTGGTCTAGTTGGAGATGTCCCTGCTTGTGGTGGGGGGTTAGACTAGATGACCTTTGGAGGTCCCTTCCAGCCCAGACGTTCTGTGATTATATATAAAATAAGAGAGAATAAAACAATACTAATTTGCAATTCATTCCTTGAGTTAGTCTCATATAATGGTTAGCAATACAGTGAAATATTACACAAAGCAAAAAGAGTAGAACTAAGAATAAAACAAGTATATGCTAACATGCCCATGAGCATGTTATGTTATTTCCCTACTGAATATCAAGCTTACTTACTTCACCAGTAAGTCTTTGTGCTTCTTTTCTTGCAAGGTCTTTATTCAGTAATTTAATGAGGTAATCTGCACGGGTTTGTAACTGCTTGGCCTGGGGTTTCTTATCTGGATCATCAGGTAAAATCTGAGGAGAGCAATGGCATTATCAACTACAAGCACACAATATCAAATTAGGAAGCTGCTAGTCCGGAGCACTGGGAATAGATAAAGCTGAATTAAAAAAAAATTAAAAACCCAATCCGCTCCAACTATACCTGACCAATATGCCAGCATGCTTCAAGGAATTTTCCCCCAACCACTCAACTAATGCAGTCTTAGAAATGGTCTCACAAAATTTACAGTAAACTCAAGAAACTAGTCTCAGATTTCTGTTTCCACTCTCATAGTTTATCTAAAAAATTCAGAGCTCCTGTACCACTCTCATCCACAGATGTAGTTCTGCCTTGTGCTTCTAAATGCATTAACTCATTACCACAGGATATTTCAGAAGCCAAAAGTATAAATGAGTAGTTTCATAAAACAAGCAAATTAATGGAAGGCAGGGGCAGGCTATCATCAAACAGATTTGTATACAACCTTGGCTCCTCAAATCATTGAGTATGATTCACTTCAATCTTTCCCCAAATGTCTCTCACTACTTCTAAGGAGCCATCACACTACTTCTAATCTGATGAGTATACCTATTCTCATGTTGTGAATGAAAGAGTTTCAAGTAAAAAGAACAGGGACAGGAAAACCAAACCAAAACCACCTTCCCTCCAAAAGATCAAGAATAAAATTAACACAATTAGAGCATTTAAACTAAGGAAGCAAAAGATGGAAGAGAAAGAATTCAAGTGACAGAGATCCAAATACATAGAAATACAGAAACATAGCAGACTCTAAGAAGGTATGCTTCAATTGAATACACAAAATCTTGAAACCTAATAACTTACCAGAAGGATACAAAGGAGTACAACTGACCTAACTTCTGTGCAATTTCAGTTATAATAAAAATAAGCTCTTTCAGTAACTGTTCTTATTAGCATTATTACCTAAACAAAAGAAGTCCTCGATGAAATTTTGTAGATGACATACCTTTTGTGTCAAACTGAGATCAGGATCCATTTTTATCATTTCCCAGCTGCCATAGCCATATTCATAGATACCTATTAACAGATTGGAATCATCTTCCTTACCCCACTCTATATCAAAATGAGCTGCCTTGGTGTGGCATGGGATGACATATCTAGTAGAAATAAATCAGAAATATAAATAAGTGATCTTTTCAAACTTAGCAAGGGAGAGGGGAACATGCCACACATTACTAAGATCCTGGTATATTTAGGTGAGCAATCCAGATATCTATCAAGTTTTCTTACAATTTCTATAAAATATTTATTAAAATCAGTATTGAAACACATTTTAAAGGAGATAAAGATTAAGATATAAAGAACAACAGACATCTATCTGTGGCCATGGACTGAGTCAGAACTGACTAACCATGAAGATAAGCTTAAAATATTACTCAAGTGTAACTGCTAACTGGATAAACAGATAGTTTAGGGACTATGATACATAAAGATAGCAAGCTAAAAATTTCAGCAAGCTAAACAAACACCAACAATTACCATCTGCTCCACTTTGACAAATATTGCTTTCTCTCAGGCAGAGGTGACACAAAGCAGCTCCTCAACAAGCCTAATTTATAGCCTGGAATAATTAAGAGTAATTAAACACAGTCCCCAATGAATACAGTTCAGAAGCCAAAGCAAATATTGGCTTCTAAGGAGAGGGAAGAAAGAATAAAGAAAGGATGTGGAGCAGATTTCTGCTGCCAGTTCTTAGAGAATAGAATTTTTTAGGGAATGGAGTGACACTGGTGTCCCAGTGTGCTTAGAGTCTGGATTGCTTAAATATATGCATAAAAGCCTTGAATAACTTTCTACATTATGGCTTCCTTTAGGAAAAGAAAAAAAATACCTTTTCCTTTCCTCTGGATCTGAAGGAATGGATTTGTGCAACGGTGCCAACTCTTCCTCATGAGAGATCACTAGCTTTGCATTCACCTGCACTCCTGATACTCGGAATGTTGGGCCTTTAACTTTCCCAAGTCTACCTCCTTAAAATAAAGGACCAAATTATTAAAACATTTAGCCTTTATATATATCTTAGACAAACATAAAGAAAAACCAAAGTCTTATGCTATAGCAGCAAACATTCAATTATAGTAAGTTATTTTTTCTTAACCAAACACTTAAACTCCAGAATCTCAAGATCTTCCAGATAATAATAGCAGATTATTTTTAAATTTCACAGCAAAGCAAAAAACATGCTACATTCTACTGCAACAACTTACTCAGGGAAAAGGGGGAAAAAAACAACCTCCAAAAGTCTTTTTACTATAATCCTTTTTTCTAAACCACCTAGCATGCTAATATTTTGTTAACGTTTTCCCCTAACACAATTGTTTTGTTATAATCAGTGCAAGAATTATTCAGATCTCTTGACACTTTTTATTCTCTCCCACACACACAAACACAATTTACCTGCTCTTTCTTGACCAAAGGAATTGTCCTTTAAAGCCTTAATACATCCATTATGTACAAGTTCTCCCAGACGTCTAAGGTCCATCCAGATTTATCAACTAGCTCAGCATCTCTAGCTATAGCATCTAACCCGTAAGAAAACAAATATGTTTTTGTTTTTACAGCTCAAAGCTTCAGTATTATGAATGACTCCTCCAGATTTTGAAACTGGAGAATTGATCATGGAAGTTATAATTCATCCATGTTGCTATGCTGCATACAATTTTGATCCATACAGTTAAAAGCAGCTATAGAAAAGAATTTAAAAACTATAAAAAAGGGTGTCTCACATAGAGGACAATACAACAGGAACTATAAAGGATCCTAACTATACAGTTTTGAGTTATGTAACGACACATTCTTTTAGATAGAAAAGGAGTTCTATATCAGATCATATAGTTTATAAATATTATCAAAGAAGATGAAGGTGGGAAATTATTCTCAAAATACAGAGTAATACAGAAAGCTTAAAAAAACTGACAGTGAGAAAAGTGTTAAACTGGCAGTTAGTCTGTTGAAAGCCTATGGCTTTATCCACTATCAAACAATTGAAACTGAACAATTGTCACTAATGCAGATTAAATAAGACAGTAGGTAAAGTATAAAGAAAAACAAGCAGTCTTGCAAAATGTAAAGATTTGTTGGACTGGCTGTCGACACACACACCATATATGAAGAAAGGACAGAAAGATTAATTTAAATTCATGTTATAGTCAAGGCAAAAGATTAAGTACACTATTTTCTCTTCAACCTAATCTTTCTTGGTGTACTGTTCTAATTTTAATGAAAAAAAGGTTCCAAGTTGCTATACAAATATAAACAAATAAGCTTACCTTTCAAGTGGGCCACCAAATTTCTTGTAACTCTTGATAAACCTAGTACAGAAAATAATTTTGCAGTTTAAAAACATATGCTTTACAAATGCATTTTTAAAACCAGTGTAGTTAAGTCTTAGTACAAGGCTATGTGGACAATGCAAAGACAATAAGAACTAGGGAGACTAGAGAGACTAGGACAGCTTAGTACATCAAGATAACCCACATTTAAAGCCACAGTTCTATTTGGTTTAATGACTGATGTAAATAAATCAATAAAAGATAAAATTTATTTTTAAAATTGCTTTATTAATAAGTTTCACAAGACAAAAGATTCAGCAATATGTCTAATCATAAAAATCATATGTGGATTTATAGTAAATACACAACTGAGACATTTTATTACTCCACTCATAATAAAGAGGTGCTAGCTGCAATTTTAAGGTGATTTTAAGACTTCAGAAAACATAACATGAAAAATCAAGGAATGCAAGCACAAGAATATTCTTGCCAAAAGCAGAAAATCATTATATGTTAGATGAAATGAAATGAAATGAAATGAAATGAAATGAAATGAAATGGAAGCAAGTGTCTTTAAGGTTACTTATATTAAAACAAAACCTATTTCATAAGCTTTACAGTATTTTAGAAAAACTTCAATACTTAAGTTACAGAGGCAAAGTAGCATTTCACAAAACAATCAAAGTAAAGCAAAAAAAAGTCTACTTCTACCAAATAAGCAGTTTTAGCACCAAATATTGATGGGACCAGCTGTGCAGATTCACTTATGTACTGGTTTTCACGGAGAGAAAATTAATTTCCTTCGGAGCATCATACCTACCAGTACATTTTGGATTTGTGCTGGAAATGGTGTTGATACAGGGATGTTATAGTCACCGTTGAGCAGTGTTTACACAGAGTCAAGGACTTTACTGCTTCTCACATCACCCCACCGGTGAGTAGTATAGAGGTGCACAAGTTGGGAGGGGACACAGACAGGACAGCTGACCCCAACTTTTCAAAGGGATATTCCAGACCATATGGCATCATACTCATCAATAAAAGCTGAAGTACAAAGGAAGAAGGGGGGATGTTTGGAGTGATGGTGTTTGTCTTCCAAAGTCACCATTACATGTGATGGAGCTGTACTGCCCTGGAGACGTGTCCTGGTTTGGGGTAGAACAGAACTAATTCTGTTCAATGATTTTCAGCTTTCCAGCAAAAGCTCTTCTAATTAACTGCACTGTCTGAAGTTAACAGCATATTTTCGCAGACAGCCTGCTTCTAGCAGTGATAACACTCCATGTTTAGGGTTACTACCAGGGATTGGTATGCAGACCAAGGTCACTGCTAAAGCTCGTGTACCACACTGAGGGGGGGCAGAAAGTGAAAGCTGCACCTGCAGGGAGAAGTGGATGAGATAAGTGACCCTAAAATTGACCACTG